TGGCATAACATTATAGCTTTTAAGAGAAAATATGACATTTATGGAATATAAATAAATTTATGTAATTTTAAAAATTTATTGTTTAATAGACTTAAATTCATTGTTAAAGAGTAGAATAATTTTGTTATTTTTTAATATTCTCAATTAGGTTTATGAAATGCAATCTTTTGTAATTTTATAGTTCCTACCTGAGTGGTTAATAACTGTTCATTATATATATGCAAAATTATAGAGGAAAGTAGCTTTTCGATGTAATTCACATAATGCTTATTTAAGATGATTAGATGTTTGTTAGGAATGGATAAATAATGATCTAAATCCTTTTAGGGTTAGAATACTTATTGATGATTAATATATCTTTTCAATACTTTATTCTATCTAATACTATTAATATCAATTGAAAATAATAAACAATATGTTAAGAAAATAGTAATTTTAAAAATCATTCAATCCCAATGTTTTAACTTTGTTATCAATATTTTTGTAATTTTTGAAATTTATCTTTTTTCTTATCTTTGTTCTTAAATGTATCATTATCTTTATTAAAAACTGACTAAACCTGTTTACTCTTTTTATATTATAAATTTAATAGTATAGTCTATAAATATTAATTTATAAACGTTGTTTCTAACATCTCAATATTATCCAAAATATTTAAAGAGTAACAAAAAATACATGTTATGCAAAAAAGTTATAAGAAAATGATTAAAATTATAATTGCAATGTTTTTAATGAATATTCAAATTCACTTCTTTTGCTTTAAGTCTTCTAAAAAGCAACTTCCTTTGGATTTGAACAATGGTTTTAAATCTATCCCTTAATAATTCATGAATTGTCCTTATAGGATAAGTGTTCCTGATGCTTCTAACCAAGGATTCTAGCATATTACAAGTATTGTACAATAAGGATTAACTAAATAATAATTAATAATAAATACCATTTGGCAATAAGAAGCTATTTTGAAGAGGTATGTTAAACTAGGAAAGCAAATCTTTATAGTTACTATCTGATTGAAGTATTTCGTTTGATGTTTGTACATTCCAAAGACGGATAGAGCTATCATCACTACCAGAAGCTAATGTATTTCCATTAGGGGAGAAATTGACTGAATAAACTGTTGATGAATGGCCATCTAATTTGGCTTTTTATTATCCTGTCTTAACATCCCATAAACGGATAGACTTATCTTAACTTCCAGACGCTAATGTAGTGCCATCAGGAGAGTAACAAATTGAATTAACCCAATCTGAATGACCATCTAATTTGGCTTTTTATTTTCCTGTCTTAACATCCCATAAACGGATAGACTTATCTTAACTACCAGAGGCTAATGTAATACCATCAGGAGAGTAACAAATTGAATTAACAGATGATGAATGACCATCTAATTTGGCTTTTTATTATCCTGTCTTAACATCCCATAAACGGATAGACTTATCTGCACTACCAGATGCTAATGTAGTACCATCAGGAGAGTAACAAATTGAAT